TTGGGCCAAAGATACATACTTTACGTTAAGATTGGAAATTAAATGGTTTGTACGGTCATGATTTTATATTTAAAAAGAATAAGGTTGGTTGATATCAAGTTGGCATAAGAGGAGTATAATTTAAGGCTCACAAACCCAAGCCGTAACATCATCATAATAACTTTTTGTCATTAAGATTTTGGGGTTTGGCTGTTTTTGGGTTTATGAATAAAGGAATAAACAATAGACTAAATTGGGATGAGAATCAGTCCAAAATTGTTGAGTGAAGTGTGTCATGGACGGTAACAAAAAGCGTGTTTTTTTTTTTAAACCCCAAAGGGGATTAAACTGTTTAATAATAAAAACAAGACAACTTGTGGAGAGTCCATAGCATAAGTGAGTTCATGCCAAGAGATGATCACCGTCTACCTTTTCACGAATTCATTTCGGTCGATCATGCCTCAGTAACAGTCTTTGAATTTCAAATTTTGATGGCTTTACGTCAATGTCACAACCTCACTTAATTTTATTTGGCAACAGAGTATAAACACCAATTCCTTGCTTACGGTGATGTGTTATGACTACAAATTTGCCAGTGGCAGTTTGTGTAAGATTAGCGTAGCCCGACAGGGTGAGGGTACAGCACTTATCCGGCACAAAGACTAAGACGCAGTATCTACGGTAAGTGGAAAGCGTGTACAACTGACACATGTTAATCAGTAATCCTCATTGCTGTATGACATGATCAACAATTTATACATCTCCGTACTGCTGTTTGGTGACTATCTCTACTTTGTTGGTTGGTGGTGTTATGGTTTTTTTGGTTTGCAACTTCCTCTTATTTTTTAACAGGCTGGATGTATTGTTTGATTAGCAAGTAAGGGATCGCTGCAGCGTGTCGCTGCTTGCTCGCTTTTGCTTTGTGTACAGTAGTCCACTGTGGGTTCTTCAAATTGCCGTTGCTGCCAGATGTATGATAGCTCGCTGTCGAAGTGCCGGCCGCTGCCGCCGCTGCCGCGCCCGCGACGTCGCCGCTACCGCGCTGCCGCCGTTGCCTCGCAGCCGCGAGTGAAAAAACCGGGTCACGGGTCGTGTCGGGTCAACCCGTGACCCGCTCGGGTCGGGTCCGGGTTGGAATGTTTGACCCATTTATAAAAACGGGTCGGGTTCGGGTTGACCCGTTTATATACGGGTCGGGTCGGGTTCGACCCGAACCCGACGGGTTGACCCGAATTGACACCCCTTAGGCGGGTTGGTTTTCCTCTTCGGTTCCTTCCTTGCGGTTTCGCGCGTGAGGTACTGGTTCGCGTGGGGTAGAGCTTCGAACGAGTCACTTGCCATTGCCTGTCTGGGTTTGCTTTTCCTTTTATGCATTTATTCGTAGCTGTTCTGCTTCGCGTGAGGTAGAGTTCTGAAAGAGTCTCTCCACATTCTCCGACGAGGACGTTGTTCCTGTCGGATCGGAAGTCGCGCCGGGAGCTCGCGGCGAAGGTAACGATTTATCTCCGCTTTCCCGCGCTTCTTCTGTCGGATTTACGAAATCCGCTAAGAAAGTCGGATTTACGAAATCCGGTATTTAGGGTAAAAATGGCGAAAGCACCGTGAAGTTGAGTTTAGACTTGCCGTGCGATTTAATTTTGTGTTTTTTTGGCATTTGACAGGATTTAACTCAAATCCGGTGTAAATCCGGAGTCCAGACAGGCCCTAGGCTCACTGTAGTTACATTTCGAAGAACCCTTTTGGGATAAGGACGGTCTTCGTGTTTGTTCGTCTTCGTTTTACCATGGCGAATCCTTACTATGGCTCTGGTCCTCTAAGATCAAGGTTTGTCCCCTCTTCCTTCGTGTATTTAGTAATCAACGTTCTATTAGTCTTTTGATTTTGAGCCCTTTTCATGGTGGCAGGGAAGGGCTTACGGCGAGATCGTCGGTGGGCTCGGATGAGATCCAATTGCGGATCGATCCGATGCACGAGGATTTGGACGAGCAGATCGCGGGCATCCATAGCAAGATTAGGCAGCTGAAAGGAGTTAGTTCCGAATCCTTGTTTTTTTAGTTTACTTCTTTTCGCTTTTTCCGAAATTATCATTTGGTGTTTGATGTAATTTCACTTGCAAAAGATTAAAATAAGTGGTGGAAATCAAAATTTGCTGAGGGAATTAGAAGTAGCCAGTATGATTTATGCTAGTGATCTTTTCTGTTTCTGTAATCGAAATTTTTTGACGCAGAAGCAATACTAAAAGGGAAAAAAAGGGAAAAGGAGAATTCTTCTAAGTGATCATGTATTATTGTTTGTGGGTTAATCAGTATTGCTGCATTGGAAAGACATCTGATTTGTGAGGTTCATGCTTTGGTTTTATTGGAAATTATTGTTTCCGGCACATGTCAAGGAAAGGATATAGACCTAAGGTTATCACTCTAATTGGATTCTGAAACTTTATTATGGAAAGGATGATTAAACTGGGATAACTCTGAATATAAACTTATATTGCAATGGATAATCAGTATAGAAGATATAGTCATTTTTCTTGTATTTTCACCTGTTTCCTGATTGTCTCTGTTATGGGACAACTCCTGCACTTTGGGATGAAAAGTGGACTGTTGGTACCATCTCTCTCACTGGCTAAGGAGCATTAATCAAGGAAAACAGCGCTTGAGAATGATTAGTAATGCATGACATCTTTGGGTCTATGATTCCTAATACAATTGAATGACACAATGTGTGAAACACATAAATTGGATTTGAGATTCGCAATTGGAATTAACACTAAAATTTGAAAATCAGTTGGAGCGAAATTGGCTAAAATCAATTGAGCTTTGAATACCAATATCAAATTATGTAGAAGAAAATAGAACAAGGTAAGAGATCACCAAACACAGAAAATATAGGCCTCATGCTAATACAAGAAGATTATTTACCAAAAAAATTAGCATTCTTTCGTACACCATATTCAAAGGAATCAACATCCACTCGAGCACACATTAGATTGAAGAAATTAGAAAATTTATATAGTTAAAAGTATTCTAATTATGTCTCTGATATATAATATTTATAACATCTTATTCCAACAGGTTAACTTCTCCATAAATTCAATTGGATTAAGCACATGGATAAGGCATGAAATAGAATCACAAAACACAACAGCATGCCTCCTTTAATTCCAATAGCAAACTCACAAAATATTCTCTAGAATGCTGGAACGATTAACCTTCACTAGTAGACTCCTAGCTATTCAAATATAACTTCAAAATTCACGAACTTACTTGCTTTAGGAGTACATATAGGAACTTGATGGTTGCTACAAACAAATACACGAACCACAACTCCATAATTTCGCCAAATGAAGTAGAATCGCATCCTACAAATAACCAAATCATTCCAACATATATAAATCAAATTGCAATTAAAGCTTATCTATACTACAAGAACTAAACCTTGTAGCTCACACAAGATTAAAGAAACTAAAAATTTTATGAATGTAGAAATCTTCTAATACATGCCTCGGGTATATAATTTTCATAAAGATCTTATTTCAATAGGCCAACTTCTTCATAAATTCAACTAGCTTAAGAATTTGGATAAAACATGAAACATAATCACAAACCTCGGTCAACTCCAATAACTAATCCACAAAATAAATGCTCTAGATAGGAATGGTAGAATAAATAAACCCACTAGGAGCATCTAACTATTGGTAACAAATGGATGAACTGCACCTGTAAGAACCATTAAGGACCCCCTGTCTTAGGAGTCATATGGCTATAGGAATGGGGCATTTGCTACTGCTACTATATGAACCTTAATGATGTAATCTTGCCCAAATCAATTGAATCAAATTGTAATTAAAACTGAACCACGTTGAAAGAACCAAATTGAGTAGCTTCGAAAATAAATAAATCCAATTACTAATTATTCATAAGACCACTAAAATCAATATCAGTATGTCCACTTTAGCTAAACTAAAATTGAGGTGAACCCAATTAGGGATGTCATAAATGCAGAAAAACATGTTCTTCTTATAGGCGCATCATTGCATTCATGTTCAAACAAATATATTAAAATAAATTTATTAAATGAAATTACAAAATAATATAACTAAATGAAAACTTTACTCAACTTATTTGATTGACATATCCAACAAGGGTAAACTTGTATATCTCCTTCAAATTTGTCCACCTTGGACAAATTCAGCTTTGACAAATTTAACATTTGATAATCAAATTGCACCAATATATAAATGTTGTACATTTATTCATCACAAATAAGTCTATCACATTCGTGCATAAGAAATCTCTAGAATTCATTATTAGTTGTCATCCAATAGCTTCAGGAAAAAGAAATGTAGGACCATTTGATAAAGTGTTGGATGCAAAGTAACAATGAGGTGATGGAAAAAGAGAAAATCCAAGGCTTAGTTGCAAGTTCATGAAATTTAGTCAAATCAATGACATTGAAAATTGAACTAATGGCATAAATTTTTCAAATTTATAATTTGTAAGTGTTTACCCAAATGTAATGCATGCTTTTAAATGTCCCTATTTTTTCTGTTATTTAATTTCTTAAAAGCTCCTTTAGAAAGCCTTTTGAGATTACGATGTCACTTACTCATGTTCACATCAACAATAGATTTATTTATATCATAATTAGTTATCTTTTTAGAATATATTTTCATGTAAGTCTTGTATATGTTGCACGAATGCTTGTGCAAATTCACAGGCCTAGACTCAATAAAAAGTTAAATAAGATCTATAAATTTGATAAGTCAAAGCAATGTAATTATTTCAAATGGCCTTATGCTACTAGATGAAGGGGTGGAAAATAAAAAAAAATTAAAATATTGCCCTAGGTTTATTTGAGGATATTTAAAGAATGCTAATAAAAATATTGTTGTGAGTAAGATTCAAGATATTAAAATTTGAGTTCTTCATGAGGACGCTAAAATTAGTGGGAAAAAAATAGTTAGTGAGACTAAGAATATTATAAAGTATATACTTGAGGAATTAAAAGAAAAAGCTCACAACAGTAAAAATAGTTGGTGTTGGAATCAATTTGTGCAAGGAAAGATAAAAAATAAGAAGCTTTGTTATAAGAATTGATTTATATGTAAAAGCTTGAAAAATTAGGAAAGATATAGAGGGTCCTCTAGGGAGTCTAAGAAAGCAAGATATGTGATGCAAAAAAATTAGCTTCTAGTTATTTATATAATAGATTTTATGTAAAAGAGGGCGAAAGATGTATGTATAAGCTAGCCAAGCAAAAAGATAAGAAAAGTATGGATTTAGTTTAAATGAAGTGCATTAGGATGAATATTAAAAAGTGTCTAATCAAAATTGATTTAGATGTAAAAGCTTGGAAAATTAGGAAAGATATAGAGAAGTCCATAGGAAGTTTAAAAAACAATACGTAATGCAAAAAAATTAACTTCTAATAATTTATATAAGATTAAATACAAAAGAGGGTAGAAGATGTATATATAAGTTAGTTTTGCAAATAGATAAGAATAGTATGAATTTAGTTTAAGTGAAGCGCATTAAGGATGAAGATTAAAAAAAAAAATTGAAGAAGAATATTCAACATAGTTGGATGAGTTATATTGATAAATTTTTCAATGAATGTTGTGAGAATACAATTGATTTTAGTAATCTTAGCATTCTTAATGAAATGCGAATTTTTTTATCGTCTTATTTGTTAAATTGAATTTGGAGATTTTAAAGAAAATGAAGTGTGAAAAAGCAGTAAAACTTGAGGATATTCAAATAGAAGTATGAATATGCTTAGGAGATCAAGGAATATATTGGCTTACTAATCTCTTTAATATTATTTTGAAGCTTAAAAAATGTCAAATGAGTTGAGAAAAAAGTGTGTTGATTTCTAGTTTTAAGAAAAAAAGGTGATCCACAAGAGAGTGTGATTTATAGAGGAATTAAGTTAATTTTCCATACCCAGAATTATGGGAGAGAGTAATTGAGCATATATTACGACATGATACTAATGTTTCTCAATCAGTTTGGATTCATGCTAGGTAGGACTATGGAAGGTATACATTTGCTGAGAGGTTTGATGGAGTGAGGGAGTGTAAGGAGGATTTACATAAGATATTTATGGATTTAGAAAAAAAAAAGAAAAAATTCCATGAGAAGTTTTCTGGAGAGTTCTAAAAAAGTTAATAATGCTTATATTCGAGTGTTCAAACATAATGTGGTTTGACCAAGTATTTTCTTATTTTAGTTGGATTACATCAAGGATCATCTTTAGGCACATGTTTTTATGCTTTTGTCATGAATGTTCTTACTAGATATTTGCTAGAGGATGTATCTAGGTGTATACTTTTTTGCTAATGATATTCTTCTTGTTATTAAGATTAGAGAGGGAGTTGATGAAAAACTTGAATTATGGAGGATAACTGTAGAGTCTACCAATTTTCATTTGAGTAGATCTAAAATCGAATACATGAAGTGTAATTTTAATAGTAATAGATCTAATGGTGGGATTGTGACATTGAGTGATTAAGTCATTAAAAAGAGTGCACATTATAGATATCTCGGGTGTTCAAAGTGATGGTGAAATAGATGGAGATATTATTAGTTGAATTCAAGTTGGATGGCTGAAGTGGAGGAATGCACTGAACTTGTTGTATTATAAAAAAGTACTCCTTACACTAGGGAAAATTTTATAAAGTGGTGATGAAACCTGCAATGCTTTATGGCTCAAAATGTTAGCCATTAAAAGAGAATTATGAAATTAAGTATTGCAAATATGAAACGAGCGTATACGTGAAAGTTTGGAGTAGCTTTAATGACAGATAAGATTAGAGAGAGTTGCCTTAGATATCTCGACATTTTGATGAACCTATTAGGAGAGTATATGTGTTAGTTCTAGCCCGTCTTAAAAAAGATGGAGGTAAACCAAAAAAGACTTGGTTAGAAAGAATTAAAAATGATATCTTTTTAATTAAATTTAAATGAGAATTTGACTTGTAAGAGGACACAATGAAGAAAAAAGATTCATCTAGCCGACCCTACATTGCG